ATGCAGAGTATGTAAGCACTTGCACAGTGTCTAAAGGTCTGGCAACACTTCAGCAGTGAGGTGAAAGCTCTTCAGAACCCACAAAGTGACTGCTACTGCTGGTGGGAGTGAGGAAGTGGCCAGAGTGGTAGGAGGGAGTAGACAGCAGAGGAAAAGGTAACAACAGGTGATTTTAGCTAAAAAAGGTCAGTAATTATTGACCTAAAACTTACATGTGTTCAGCTTCAGTTGCAATTTGAGCCATAAGGGAAAGCCAACTAGAAAGAACACAGTATTTACTTCTTAAAATGCAGAACAGTTTGGAAAGTGTTTTGATACTCTCTATTAATGATTAAGCTCCACTTTTTTTACCCCCCTGAGAAATCGATCACTGCCCATTTTAGGGATGGGGAAGGTGAGGCTGAACAGGTAAATTAATTGCCCAAAATGTACCAGTGGCAACATCAAAATTAAAACCCAGCAGATTCTCATCCTATATAACCATTACACAACAGTCCTTTCCTTTTCTACTCTCAGGAGTACAAGTTAATTTCTCCCTTGAAAATCCCCATGGATGCTAAGCTTTAAATTTAAAAGTTCTAATTAAAACATTAACTACTGCTCAAATTGCCAATTTAATCTTGTGCTCTCAGATTACTGCCATTACAGCTGGTAATATTAGGAAGAAGAACTGATTCCTGGCCAATCAAGGTATTAGGCTCCCTTGATAACCAAAAAAAAGCCTCTCAACAATATTCTGCTGCATTATTCAAGGACAACCTGTAGCCTAGCAAAGACTGGTGTTTTCTTCATATTCTAAATTACTGTGTCCCTACAGCTGTACTAAGGGAATGGGGTCAGGAAGGATTTTTTTTTTTCCCCTGTATTAGAGGGGAAAAAAGCAATAAGGAACCCTGTTTACCATAATTTGGCACAAGTAATTGCTTAGAGTTTTCATTTTCGTTTCCTGTTCAAAGACAAAAACACCCCCCACACACACACACTCCCCGGCAAATTCCAACCACCTATAAGCATAGAATATGCAAAAAGACCTACATGGATGAGACAATTCCAGAAACAGTTGGTTTGGAGACTGATTCAGTTAGCCCTTTTTCATGGTCCTATCTTAGATACACATTCAAGTATGGCCAAATTGTCAAGTTATGCTGAGAAACCGCTAGCTATTTCTTGGACTGGGGTACTCAGTTCGGAAAACTAGGCAGGTTTCTAAACAGGTTAACAGTTGACTCCCAGTTTTGTTCTAAAACACCTTGCTTCAATTTCCTGTCTGAAGCTTTCTCCTGGTTCTGTGCAATTCCCTAAAATATAAAGTGGTTTGATAAGTCTGTTATCAAATGTAGGCATAAAAATGCAAACTACAAAAAATAAATTGCATTTAAAGAAAACTTGCTGAAAGTTAAGTCAATTGCCCCGTCCATCCCAGTATAATAAACCCTACCAGAGGATATTACTTTGCACAGAGGCAGAGCCTGAAGCTTAAGCACTGCCTATCTGGATTTAATGCCACAAACACTTGGTTTCTTTCACACTGAGTCAGTTAAAACTGATTTTAAACATCATACAATTTATCTCGTCATGTTTTCATTACATTCTTCCCAGAGGCAAACTTGCCCTCAGCTGACACAAATTTTAACATAGTGCTTACTAAATATGGTGAGGGCATCATCTCAGTGAGTCATACTGGCTTCCCTCATTCAGGGTACAATAAACACCGAGCCAGACACGACAGAAGATGGGAGCTCAGAGATCTCTCCACTACTATGTAAGATGATCATCAACAACTTTAGATGGGTATGTCCAGCACTGGATGCGAGACATGAATTTTTGAAATTATAAATGGTTTCACAGATACACCTTCAAGTCACAGAACAAATGAATATTAATAGCATTATTATTAACACCAAAACCACAACTAATGCTTTTAATCTGCCATTAGGAATTGTAGAATCCACAGCAATAAATTACTCAGTGATGTTCCAAAACCATAAACACTTATATGTGCTTAACCATGAGTAAACATACTGATTTAAAATAAGACAATAGAGTGTCATAAACATCTGAATGCTCCATATAAATACCTGAACAATGAACTTATAAAACACATAAAAAGAAGGATGTAAATTTTCTAATGCAATGAACAAACCTCTAATTTATCGACTTTGGCATAGATGTGGTTCATTTCCATCACCTTGTCTTTAATGAGCGGAATGGTCTCATCCAGGATCTCTGATGTATCACTTCTAATCTGCATGAAAAGAAGTATCTCACATGAGGATGAATCTTGAAGGTAAACCCTACACTATTTTTTTCACTTCACTATTCTTTCATGTGAATATTTCAAAAAACACCTATTCAGAAAAGATATCACAAGGGCCCCTTTGTGCAGTATGTTATAAGGTACCGATTGGGATAACAACTTACTTTCTCAAGTAATCCATGAGACAACAAAAAAAATCCCAACAGTAGATGACAGGACTCCCACACCAAAACCGTAACCAGATCCTTCCACCATTGTCTCCCCTCATTTCCACACTACTCGTCCCAAGAGATGATCTCTTTTCTATTATGAAAGACTGTTGACATGGTGGGTAATGATGGATTTTAAATGTAAACTGCCTCTGTACCATCTATCATGCTTTGATTTTACTGAAGGAGATCTAACTCATACTACATATCAATTAGATTTTGGAAAGAGTCAGATGTTTGAGTACAGCACTTCTAGTACCTTGCCTTCAACAGGGGCTCAGGACTAGAGTTCACAGGACACCAAGAATCTTCACACAGCACTACAGCGTAGCCACCTCAGAGAAAGTTGCTGCTCCTGAGGCCCTGTCAGTTACCACAACAGCTGTGTCCTAATACACGAGGGTGGTTTTCTTTTTTTTTTTTTTGTTACCTACTACAACCAAGTTTGCTTCTGATATCCATATGAGAGCCTAAACCTTAGCTGATATCCTGCCGACTTTTGCGTTAGCAAGAATTACCCTGTTTTCTGTATAAACAACTGCCAGTGCTTTGTTAGGTGGCAGTAAGACTCCAGACAGCACTACAGCTAATGGCGTGGACAAGACCAAAATGCCAGATAAGACAAGAACCGTGAAGATCTCTCTGAAGAGAAAAATATAAGCAAAACCAAGAACACCTCCACTAAAACACCCAAACTGGCATTTGTAAAGCAGAGCAGCAACTCAATGACGAGAAATGAGAGGCAGTTGAGCCCACTTTTATGCAAGTTCTCTTTCTCAACTACAAAAGAGTATAGGAGGTCTTGGTTGCCTTCAAGATTAAAGCTGTGCTGTCTACAATTTTAATAAAAATTAAAGAATATAGAGGAACAAGGATCTCTTCAAAAGAGATTTTTGTCCCAAAATATTCTTCTTTCAACTTCATAGGAAAGAGTATGGATCTTTTGGCTAGAATGGTGCAAATCTGGAGTTGGGCTAATACTGCAGGGAATTTTCTGGGCATTTTGAGATTTAATCCAGAATCAAATAAAGCACAAATGCCTGTTATAAATCATTTAATCTACAGACCATGCTTTATAAACTCTAATAGGTACTCAGACATTTTACTGATGATCATATGACTCATCAGTGTGTTTGGGTTTGTTTTAAGAAGTTGTGTTTTTAAAAGCTGAGTATAAACAAAGCTATATACATGTAAAATGACTCATAGTAAGATTTTATGGTATTTTTATTACCAGAATGAGTAAATGCAAATGAAGTGCTTTTATAGTGCTATAAGTGTTCTGTAATAGGAGATCAAACAGACGTACCCAAATACTAGTAGCTTTCTATTGTAAACAAACCAACAGTATCTCCTGTATTACTGGTCTCAGCACTGCATCCAGCAAATATATATATAGACACCTTCCCCAGCAGTGACACAACTGCATACACAGACACGTTCTGTTATCTCTACAGTATCTACTTTATATCCAACAGAAAGCAAGAACAGACACTCAGGCAGAATCCCTGTGAACGAAGTCAGGCTTATATTTCCTAACATTAAATAAAAATACAGAAGTAATACATAATGAAGGAGCTGAAGCAGATGAATTCCAGGTTTGTTCTATTGAATTCTCTTGGGTCAATAGTAGGCAAAAAACCTCTCCTCTATCATAACACACATGTGAAAAACAGACTGGCGATCTGTCTGAGGTGAGGTTCACACTCAGGTAAACTACATCGGATTAAAATCTGAACCTGAATTTTCCAAAAATAAGGTAACAAACTTATTTGCTAATGTTGCTCTCAGAAAGGACTAGGGAAAAGCCGCTCTTACAGCTAAATGCTACATAACTACTGTAAATATAAACACAGTTTGGGACACAGCCAGAAAGAGGGAGATGTTGTACAGACCCAGTAGAAAAACTATCAACATAAGGTCAGAGCAGACATGGAACAAATCTAAACCATCTTTCTTTAGGAGTAAAAGCAAATGACCAATATAAGACACAGGAGAGCTGATCTTCCAGCAAGCAGCCTGTGATGAAAGGAAATGATATGCAAATATGATTCAAGAAGAGTCATTCTGCAGCAGTCTGCAGAACCACAGCGACAGAGGAGTTCAAGAGGAGTCAGCACATGACAAAGGGAAATGATTCTCTTGGTACAGCAACCTCTCATGAGCCAGAGAAAGCAGGACTGGTCTGAAACCCCACATTATGAAACAAGATTTATTTCCCCTCGTGCAATGTATATTTTTTTTATTACTGAAGATTTAGCAGAGTGCTCAGCACAAGCACCAGAGCACAGCAGTCCATGGGAAAAAAAACTGTCATCTTCTTACTAGATTTTACTATGCTAATTGGAGGGGGCGGTGAGGAGGGAATGTTTGATTGAGCTTTGTCTTCTAATTCAAGTCAGCAAGACTAAGCTCAAGGAGGCAGGAAACCAACAGCACCAAAGTCAGTTAGGAGACAGCACAACCAGAGTCTGAATGATGAATTGGAACACAAACCATGAACAGCACTTTGCATGTAGGGCAGCGAGACCTGATCCTTGCATACACTGCAGTTCAACCTGTATCAGTTAAACAAGCACAGATTCTTGTTGTTTTGTATTTTATAAAAACTATTTTTTTTCCTTTTCCTGAAAAAATAAAGTACCTGGAGCCATAAGTCAAAGATACTGTGCAAATTCTAGTTGTCACAGGGACTTTTTTGGAAGGATCTCTCTATATTCTTTTTCAGTCTTTGATCCCATATTTTAACAGAGTAGCATAAAAGGATCGTGAGTAAAAGTAACCACTGTAAACTGAACAGCTCAGTGGTGAGAAAAGTGAGGTTGGTATGTTCCTGAGAACTTAGCAAACCCTAGCCACAGTGAACCAAACAAAAGATTTCTTCCTCTCTTTTCCCCAGTGATGGAACCAGGTTTCACACTTTGGGCCTGAAGGAGGAGGTTCCCAAACTCTAAGTCCTTAAGACAAAGATCAGCAGTTAGCAGCTGGTCTGTGGAACCCTAATAAAGCAAGATTTACAACACATCATTTCCCTGGGGCAAATTCTGCAAGAAGGTTCAATGGCTTGAGGACTAGTTTTTATAAACTAGTGAATATACTGCAGGATCAACATACATAAGAGTATCACATATAAGCAGAGATTTTGAATGTATTCATACATTCTCTTCAAGGATTAGGAGCCAAAAAAATTGAAGCAATGAATTTCCACATGTAACTAAACCAACATGTCTGAATAGCTGTAATTTCCAATCATGCTTTAAGATATACAAAAAGCACAAAGAATCATATCTAAAAAGGTAAGCAATAATGACCCAGGGAAACAATATGAGAACAGCATATCCAAGAGTCTGGTTATTGAAATTTTCTTGCTTTTGTGCCACTGGTTCAAATCATAGCTCAGTTAAAATCAGTTTGATGATTATACTTGAGAGGGTCTGAAGCCACTTAAAAGACATTCATTTACTTTGTTGAAGTCAGTGCCCTAAGGAAGACATCACAAAAAGTTAAGTAGCTAGCATGAAAATTCTTCTAGTGCAATCTTTTCTTTGCAAGATGCTCTTTCCATGGCAAGTGTGAGGCATGCTGAACTGTACTGACATTGTCACTGTGACTTACCTAATGTACAAGTGTCCATTTTAAGTGCTGTGCTGTGTCTAGCCAGGTACAACAGTATGACACTGGAAATAACATTTTGTCTTCCTAGCACTGAGGATCAGGTTTTTCCTCATTGCAATATTCAAATATATGCATCAAGAGTACTTGTAAGTGAAAAGCAGCAGCACACTCAAAGGAGAAAAGCCAAATCCCTCTATGTGAATACTTCACTGAATGCCCAATTGAAAAAAAGCAAGATTCCCCTTGCCTTTTGTTGGCATAGACAAAAGACCAAATTATTGCTAGGCACAGAAGCTGGAATCAGTTCAAATACTACATTATATTTATCAGATTCCCGGATACCACTTGATGTGCTGCTGAAAGGAACCTTACATTGTAGGTGTGGGATGGAAAGCCACAGAATCAGCACAGACTGCAGTGCTTTGATGTTCTCAGATAAGGTCAATAATCTGCATACCAGGGAATTATTTACAGCCTCAGGTTGTGGAAAAATGTTTTTAGGGGCAATGCAAAGATAGTGTATTGAAACTAGAGTAGTGTTTTTTGTAGAAAAGGTTAGCAAGAGAAGTTGTCTCACAGGAGGTTTAAAAGCTCACCAGATCCATCTGAACAAGCTAACCACCTTCCCTATACTGGAGCCAAAAATGTAAGGTGCATGCCTGACTGATGGGAAAAAGCATAAGGTACACAGAAAATCTTAGCGTATGCTCCCAAACAGAAGAATTGAGTGAATGAACTTAATAGTAAATCAGACAGAATACAATCAGCAGTGAAGAGCTATTGATTCAAAGCACTTGCTTTGAGCAGGTGATGTCGTATCACTGAAGCAATCATCACCTTTCAGGAATGAACTCAAAGGATTTTTTTGGCCCAAGAAACTGATCTCTTGTATTCTACATTTTACACAGACTCAAAGTGCCATACTAGAGAATCTAAAGCTGACAAATGTAAGTCAGGATGTATCAAAAAATAGACTGCATGCTCTGAGGTTCACATGCTCCTTTACAGCTATTTTTGTCAAAAGCTGAATGGAAAAAGAACTGCTTAAACAGCTACTAATACTGAACCATTCTTACAAGGCAGCTACTTCTCCTTTTAAGTCCCCTACTAACCATGTGAGACTTTGATAAGCCAAGCTTTTGTTTGTTTCTACTCTACATCACTTCCTTCACGAAGCAATGATGCCTCCTTTCCATAAGCAAGACATGCCAAAGACAAAACCAGAAACCTCTGACAGAAGTTGAAAAAGGATGAATAACTGGCTATACTGTTGACTGGTTTGTGTAGAACAAAGATAATGGCCTCACTTCTCTCAAGCAGAATTCACATCCAAAGTGCAAGAAACATGTGTCCCATAACCAAATAACAATAAACATTAGATTATGATATTTTGCATAAGCTGTATCAAACATGTTGAGTTTTCAATGTGTTCTTGCAGCCCACACCAGACTGCTTTGGGGCCATCTATGACTTCTGTCCTTGAGAGTAAGCACATTTCTCCAAACATCATTGGGATACCTGAACAAAAAAGTGGATGCAATTCCTAAGAATCATCCAACAAAATAGCTCATAGGCAGCAAGTCCCCAAGGAGATGTTGGCTGGTCACTTCTTACCATTGGAAGTGCATTCAGTACAATTACCAACCACTGTCATTGCTAATGACACGTGTTATACAAGATGTCCGAAGATGGAAGAACAACGCTGTGGTAAGTGCTAACTGAAGGTGGGATGGTCTGTGCATCAGTGATTGTAAGAGGAAGTCCCTCTAGGTAAACATGGTCCATGCTATCTGAACTAGCACCCTGCGAAATAATTGGAAAGGGTTAAATGCAATACCAGTTCCTCTACCTAATTTTACATTTTTCTAGCCTAAGGAAGGAAAGAAAAGTTGACTGCAAAAATCACGTTCATTATTTTTACATGAACACCATAACCCGCATAGTCTTCAGACAGCACTACTTTATGCAGAAAGCCTAGGGTAAGCTAAACAGCAACATAAACCTTTCGCTCTAAATGGTTTATCCCAATTAGGCAGTGACAACGGCAAAGATAATTGGTGTGCTACAAATGTTGCACTGCGCATCACTCTCAACGCCATCATTAACCAGTGCTCCCCACTCGGTTATTCCACCCGTATGAACTTCTCTCCCCCATCCTGCCTGCAGGCTCTTAGTAGACCCAACTTGTACAGCACCGGGCACAGGCGGCCTCAGTCCGCAGCCGGCGGCCCTACGCGCCCGCCGGCCCACT